CACGTGTGCTGTGCGTGTAATCAGGAGGGAGATGGTCTCTGCAGAGGCCGCCATGAGGAGCAGGGGGTCCCAGCCCCACACCAGACCCCCAGCCCAGGGTCCCAGCCCCACACCAGACCCCCAGCCCAGGGTCCCAGAGCTGGGAAGAGAAGTCCCCATAACTATGGGCCATAAAAACCATCGGGGGTTGTGGCTGAGTGACAAAGAGGCTGCTGGAATCCCAGGGCCCGCGCACAAACTTACAGGGTCCCGCGTCTTCTGAGCTCCAGCGCTGGGGGAGACACATACAGGCAGGGACTGGATTGCCTGGCACCGAGGCAGGAACTCAGGGGTGGCTTTCTCCCAGACAGGGGTACTCGCAGGTGTCGTTCTGGTGCTGGGACCTCCCCTGTGGTAGGGCTGAGCGGCAGCCATATCTGTTTCCATCAGTGTGGCCCATGCTGTTTGCTCCGCCCTGGTGAGACCCCGCCCCATCCAATTTGCAGCCCCACCGGAGCTATTTGCAGCAGCTTTTCCATAGGAATGGCCTGTCCTGGATCAGGCTTCAACCTTGGCCAAAATCTCTCTCACAAGCTGCAGCTGGTGACAATGTGCCCCAAACCAATCAACAAAAGGCCCGAGACCCGGCTCTAGCACCAGGTGGCCTTGCTTCACAGCTGGTCCTCACAGCCAATTGGCCTGGGGTCAACTCCTCCCAGAGACGCCAACAGCAGTCAAGGATCAGCTACAAGACTGTGCACACAGCCCACAGAGGGGCGCACCTAGAGGGCCCAGCTCAGGTGACTGGGGAGGCTGAGCCACTGGGCCCTGCAGGACACCTACTGCACAAGGCCACTCGACCAATTCCAGGAGACGTAGCTGCTCTACCTAATACATAGAAACAAACACAGGGAAGCCGCCAAAATGCCAAGACAAGGGCACATGTCACAAATGAAAGAAATGGAAGCAAACAAACTACTGGGTACAGAATTCAAAACCACAGTTATAAGGTTACTCAAGCTTCTTCATGAGAGCTTCAAGGGACTTAGTGAGACTTTCAAGGATCTTAGTGGTTTGAGAGTGAATGTAAATACTAAAATAAAGCATAGATTACTTTAATAATCTTGCAATAGTGACAGCCTTTCTCAGAAGGCATGAAACTCAAGAGTACTCCAAGTGAAAGGAAAATAGATTTGACTCCATGGAAATTAAAATTTTCTACTTGGCAAAAGACACCATAAACAAAGTCAAGAGACAAGTGACAAGCTAGAACAAAATATTTACAACATAACTAAAGGGGAAAAGATTGATTATGCTAATTGGATTCAAAAAGCTAACAAATTATCAAGGAAAGAACAAACATCTCAAGAGAAAAAGGCAGCTCACAAAAAATCAAATACAAATAACTACTAAATAATTGGAAAGATAACCTCATCAGTGATTAAGGAAATGCAGTTTTAAAAGTAGGTTTCCGCCGAAACCGGTTTGGCTCAGTGGGTAGAGCGTCGGCCTGCGGACTGAAAGGTCCCAGGTTCGATTCCGGTCAAGGGCATGTACCTGGGTTGCGGGCACATCCCCAGTAGGAGATGTGCAGGAGGCAGCTGATCGATGTTTCTCTCTCATCGATGTTTCTAACTCTCTATCTCTCTCCCTTCCTCTCTGTAAAAAATCAATAAAATATATTTAAAAAAAAAAAAGTAGGTTTCCCTGCCTGGCTAGTGTGGCTCAATGGCTGAGCATTGATCTATGAACCACGGTTTGAGTCCTAGCCAGGGCACATGCCCAGATTGTGGGCTCAATCCCCAGTGTGGGCATGCAGGAGACAGCCAATCAATGATTCTCTCATTGATGTTTCTATCTCTCTCTCCCTTTCCCTTCCTCTCTGAAATCAATAAAAATACATATATTTTTTAAAATTATAAAATAAAAGATAAAAGTAGGTTTCCCTATCAGTTGAATAAAAACAAAATTTGAGCATAGCAAGCGTTGGTGAGGTGGTGGGAAGACATTCAGTTTCCCTCCCCTCTCCCTGGTTGCAGTATAACTTGACACCCCCATTTTGGAGGGAAATTTGGCAGTTTCCCTCAAAATAATAAACGCTCATACATGCCCTTTGATGCAGAAATCCACTTACGCAAATATAGCTGGCAGAAATAATTGCACACCATGCAAAGATGTTCATGACAGCACTGTTTATGATTGCTGAAAAGTTGGGGCCACCTAGTGTTCATCCTAATGAGAACAGCTAAGTAAAACATGGCACATCCCTGCCTTGGAATTCCATACAGTCATCAGTAAGACCTGGGTCAACCCAGGTGGCTAGTACGGAATGTAGAAAACAGAGTCAAGTAAAAGCAGTGAGCTGACAAACATAGATGATCCTATCCTATATAATAAAAGCCCAATATGCTAAGTGTCCGGTTGTCCGGTTGGCCATTCAACCAATCAAAGTGTAATATGCTAATGATATGCTAATGCCACTCAACTGCTCACTATGACGTGCACTGACCACCAGGGGGCAGATGCTAGGACCAGTAGGTTAGCTTGCTGCTGGGGTCTGGCCAATCAGGACTGAGCGAGATGGGCCAGACACTCCCTGGAGCCCTCCGTGGTCCCTCCCTGGCTGACCAACCTCCTGTGTCCCTCCCCGGCTCTGATCATGCACCGGTGGGGTCCCTCAGCCTGGCCTGCACCCTCTCGCAATCCAGGACCCCTCAGGGGGTGTCCGAGAGCCGGTTTTGGCCCGACGGTAGAACAACCGGTCGCTATGATGCACACTGACCACATCTGGTCGTTACGGCATGACGGCGTTAGGGCCAAAGGGTTTTTATAATAGAGATTTTTATCCAGTTTGAGTGTAAATAAAAATACAAACATACACATCTCAAGGGAATCTCATGTTTTATCTTATGTGCTTCTATTAGTTATGAATTTGGTTTTGGTGAGCATGTATTACTTTTATAATCCTTAAGCCAAAAACATAAGTGAATAAGAATTGAACATCTAATGCCTGTAAAGACAAAATGTTTAGTGTTTCATTTCTTATTTTTTTAATGTTTTTATTTATTTTTTTACAGGAGTAGCTATCTTTTTTTAATACACTTTTATTGATTTCAGAGAGGAAGGGAGAGGGAGAGATAGAAACATCAATGATGAGAGAGAATCATTGATTGGCTGCCTCCAGCACGCACCACTGGCCATGCACCCCTGGGGGATGGAGCCCGCAACCTGGGCATGCGCCCCCTGGCTGGAATCGAACCCAAGACCCTTCAGTCCACAGGCCAACACTATCCACTGAGCCAAACCAGCCAGGGCTTAGTGTTTCATTTCTTAGACCTGAGTTGACTTTCAGCCCAAGCAGTTCCAAGCAATGAGTATAATTCCATGAAGACCCTTTATCTCATATATGTGTGCAGGCATGTACACATGCCACATACACTTACACACATCTACACACACTCATACATGCATACACACACTTGTCCAGCTCTACATATGCATGTGGGATGCATCATTTGACAGTATATGGAACAGTTCATAGAACATTCTTGAATGTCTTTATTGGTGCAAGGAAGTACATAACCATTGCTGAGCAGGCAGAAGAGAATGCAGTGAGACTGAAAACCCAACACCCCTACCACTTCCAAGCAGGTGGCATGGCCCGTGGCATCCGTGCTGCCCTTCTGGCTCTGGCTCCTTCCATTTGTCTTCAAGATGGGCGGGCCCAAGGACGTGTGGCCATCAGCACGGGTGCTCATCCAATCAGGTCGAGCTGTGAGCCCCCCACCAGCGAGGCGAGAGCCCCCCTGGGCAGTGTGGGGCTCATGGGTCCTCGTCCCTGAAGACTGTCAGGTTGTGCTCCCGGATGTGTCCCAGAAGGACCTGTCCTCGCCGCTCCAGGGCCTGGAGAACCGGCCTCAGGCCCCGTCGCCCGCCGTGGCTTTCCCAGAACACCGGGTCCACCTGCAGCGACTTGAGCAGCATATTCCGTAGACACCCTGACTGGAGAACCTTCACGGCGGACTCGGGGAACCTGGACGAAAGTGCCCGAAGGTCAGAAGAGAAAGGAAAAGCAAACGTGATCTCGGAGTTTCCAGCAAGGTGAAGCCCGGAAGGCCAGAACTTGCACCACCCGGAACCCTGGTCCCGAGGGCCGCCCCTGGGTGCTGGTTACCAGGGACTCTTCCACCGCTGAGCCGTGCGACAGGCAGGGATGCTTTCAGATGGCCCCATCCCACAGAGCAGCCAGGCCCGTCACCACTGTCCTTCCGGGGACCATGCCTGCTGCTCTGCTTGGCAAATGCCAGAGCCCTAGGAAGGCTGAGCTGCCTGCCACGACTGAGCAGGAAGACAGGCTGCCAGGCTACCAGGCTACCCCCACCCATCTAGGGCAAGGGAAGGGCTAGCCTGCCTCTACCCCAGCAGGCAGCTGATGTCCTGTGGGCCAGGAGCTCTCTGGATCCTGGGGGCGGGCACTCCATCCAGGAGTGGAAGGGTCTGCTGGCTGTATACCTCTCAGCTTTCCCAGGTCCCCACACCCCTCCCAAGGCTCAGATCTAACAGCTTTTGTCTGATGGCAGACTGTGGACTTCTCCAGAGCCCCGACGGAAGGTCCCATGGTCTCCAGCAGGGCTATCAAGCCTCAGTCCCTGAACCTCCACCCAACCCCTTTGACCCTCACCCATCTATGCCCTCCAGCAGCCGAAAGTTCAGCCTGTCCTCAGGGTGCTGGAGGTGGCCGGCGTTATCGATGTAGACCAGACGAGATGGATCGCTGCTCCGGACCTCAGGGAGAAGATGGGCAGAGACAGAGGTGGGGGAGGGTGCAGCCTCGCTGGCGCCCAGGGACTGTGTCAGGGTGAAGCGGCTTGGGGGCCCTGAGCTGTCAGTCCCACCATCCACCTGCTACTTGCCAGATGGTCCCCAGGTGCTGAGCAGTCAGCTGACCGTGCTGACACTGCTCGGTGCTTCCAGGCATCATCTCAGTGAGCCTCCCAGCAACCTGAGAAGGGGGCCACTAGTGTGAGAACCAGGCACAGAGAAGTTGTAATCTGCACAAGGTCCCACTGCTAATAAACAGCTGGCTGGTTCAAACCTGGGCCAGGCCACAGCGCCATCCCGTGGAACTGCAAGGCAGAGGGACTGAGTCCTGCTCTGGTGGCCAGAGGGGTGAGGAACATGGGGGAGAATGGGGCAGGTGCAGAGGTAAGCAGCCCGGCAGGACTGCAGGTTGTATGGCACAGATATAGGCTCACACACACAGCTCACCACCCCCCCAACACCTGTGCCCAGTTTTACGTATTATTCAAAGGGTTCTGCTACTAAAAGGAACAGGATTGGGAACCCCTGGACCACACGATCCCAGAACCTCACTAACAGCATCTTCGGAAGGAGACAGGAAGACCGGAGTCCGGGTGATGAGGGACTTACCAGGATGTGGACCAGTCGCAGCTCGCCCGGGTTTGTGCATTTCTCCCGGAGCCCCTCTTCCACACAGGGCTCCGAGGGCTCAGGTTCAAAGCCACAGCAGTAGCGATCCAGGCGGTCATGGACCTGTGGGGACACCCATCCTGAGGGCGGGTGGCACAGCACCCAGGCCTGGTCCCTGAGCCACACGCTGGGGGCAGTCCTCAGTGGCTCTGTAGCTGGCCTCCGGCTCCTAACGGGGCTTCTGCTCTGCCCTCTGGCCGGTGGCCCGCCCTGCACACGAAGCTCAGGCCAGTGGGGATTCCAGCCACACCCACCGCTTCATCTACAGCTGCTCCTGCGCTCGGGCCTGAGGCCTCAGGGTCTGATGCTGAACGTCCACTTGGGAGGCCACACATGGCTCCAGGCCATTCTGTGCAGATTTCAACTTGCTGCAGTGTTTATTTCCCGAGAAAGCTACAAGGAATCCTGGCCTGTATGACACGTGTCTCGCTGGCTTCCCCAAATCTTCGCCCATTTAGTGTCTAACAGGAAGGGTCTGGCCGGGCCCAGTCACCGGTTTGATTATTGAGCCACACCATCTGGTTATTTTTTTCCACTTAAGAGAAATTCCATTAAACAACAGCAGACTAGCAGCCAACAAAACCAAGTTCAAATTTCATTTCCACAGCCCTTCAGGATTTGATTCTTTCCACCCTTTTTTAAAAAATGAGGTGCTCCCCGCCCCCAAAAAAAAGCCTTTGCTGTTCTGATTTTCTGACCAACCTACCAGTGTTGCATAATCATGATGTAAACTGAAATTTTTGTTTAATTGAACTTAAGCCGTTATAAAGCCCTCACTCTGTGCCACGTTCACTCTGAGTGCTTTATACACCATTAACCCCTCCCAGCAGCCAGGAGGTCGATCTGTTATTATCCCCATTTCAAGGATGGGGAAACTGAGTCACGGGGGTTGGGTAATGTGGGATGGTCCCACAGTGTGCAAGTGGTGGAGTCTAGACCAGGCTCTGATGGCTAAGTTAGAATGTGGCAGGCACCTGTTTTCTGGCATCAGTTGATGGCAAAAGTGTAGGTGTGGTTCAAGCTGATCCCAGCACCCAGCACTCGTGCAGCCCAGCCAGGGACTTAGCCAAAGTTTTGGGGTGAAAGAATGAACGGATGAAGTACATGGCTGGCTGGCAGCAGGAAAGATCTGGAGGGGGCTTCACATGAGGACTGTGATCACAGAAAGCCTGCCCATCACGCCACCTCCCTGCCCAGGGTGCCATCACCAGAAGGCTTCAGGGGGAGGCCTGGCTCTGTGGTCTCCAAACAGGACATCTGGACAGGACAACACACTGCAGTCTTCCAGGAGGGATACCAGGCCCAGCTGTGGAGGAGGCGCGGCCTGGAGGGAGCCCAGCACAGGGCACGAGGGGTGGCTACGTTCTCTAACTGACCCACCAGGCTCCTAGGCCGGGACTGGTTCCTCAGCCAGGGCCTGACCTGGGTCTGGTGGATTCCAGAAGAACCGCTGGCTGTCCCTGGTGGCTCATCCCTCCCCCATCCCCAACCCGAATCCATTATAAGATGAATCTGCCACAGCCAAAACTGTAGAGCTGTCCCAAGTCTGCAGAAACAGGCCACAGTCATCATGCCATTAATATTTGCCATCGCTCTGGAGGCACCAGCAACGGCATGAGGTAGGAGAAAGAAAGAAGAGGTGATTAGAAGATACTCATTAAAGATGAAATGATGGTGAACTTGGAAAGCCCAGGACAAAGCAAACAACTGTTAGCAGGTGGCCAGTAACCAAACTAATACACAGAAATAATAGCCTCCACACAGACCAAGAGCTACGGGCAAGATCCTATAAAGGAGGAGAAAGGTCTCATTTTCAATGGCCACAGAGGACGAAATACCCAGGAATAACTGAACATGAAAGCAAGGACCCAGCTGAAGGAAACTGATGCTTTCGGGAGCGTGAAGAAAGGGAGAGACATATCCTACTCTTGGCTGGAAGACTCTACACTTTAGGGTGTAAATTATTTCTGTCTTAGTTCACACAAACTTAATTTGATTCCAATAAAATCCCAAAAGGACTTGGGGAGGAGAAGGAAGTAATAAGCTGACTCTTAAGTTTCATGAGACTAGTATGCAAGAATATGGGGAAATTCTAAGAAAGAGCAATGAGAAAGACCACACCCTGCTAGTTAGCAACATAAATTACGAAGCACAGTAATTAAAACAGTGTGATTCTGGCATATAAATAGACCCTTTACTGGAACAGAAGAGTCCAGAAATAGACCTACATACATATGGAAACTGGCAACATTGCAGACGGGGGGAAAGATGGATTATTCAGCAAATGGTGCTGGGACATTTGGGTTGCCATTTGAGGGGGGGAAAATCACTGTTTTGTACCTTATCTTCCAGATGGATCAAAGATATATGAAAACACATGGGAGAACTTTCAAAACAGCCTGGAAGTGAGGACGGCCATCTATACTAATAAAAGAGTGATATGCTAATTAGACGGGGAGATCTTCTGGATGTCCTTCCAGACAAAGCTGGGGGCTTGGCCAGCCTGCAAACTTCCCCCAAACGGCCCTCAGCCCCTCACCCAGGCCAGCCATGTCCCCCAGCGGGGACCCTCACCCTGATGGGGGTGTGGCCAGCCTGCAAACGGTCATCAGCCCCTTGCCCAGGCCCACCCTGCCCCCAGCGGGGACCCTCACCCAATGGGGCGTGGCCAGCCTGCAAACCTCCAGTGGCCCCTCGCCCAGGCCAGCCTTCCCCCAAGGGGACCCCAACCCTGATTAGGGACCCCCTTCAGGGCAGACCAGCTGGCCCCTACCC